GCAAATTAATTTTGTATAAATAGAATAGCTTTTTGCTTAAGTTGTAAATTAACTCTTTTGCAAGTTTATAAACTCCTTTGCAAGTTTATTAACTTTTCTGCGAGTTTCAAGTTATAAATAAAGAAATCAATTTAAATTCACACAAACTACTTTTCCCTTCAACGTTGTTCTTCACCTAGAATTATTGTGATATACTACACTAACTTGCTATTGAGTTCGTCATTACGAGTTCGATTAACATATCTTAAATTCTAAGATGTGATAAATTGCCAAGTTGATTCAAGTATAACGGATATCTGTAGGATTTAGAGAAAATCCTAAGGTCGGAAACTCTAACGTGTAGAATCAGCTGCTGCAGCCTTTCAACTTAGATATTAAGATAAACGAAAATGAACCCGATGATAATATATAAATATAAAGTATTAAAAATTAAATTAGATAAATAAATGGTTATTCATTTATATATTATTATGTAATATAAACTTTATTATTAAAATTAGAAGTTATCATTATAAGTAAAGTAATACAAAAAATTATAATTATATTATTTCTTGTAACATTGTGCTGCAGTTCTAAATGCTTCACGCTACCTAATTTTGCTTATACTCAATTGATTAAATTCAATATCAGTAAGATTATAAATTTGATCTACTGTAATTTGTTCATTTTTAAAAATATTTTTAAATTGCATAAATTCTTTATCTAATTTAGAAAAAAATTCCTTAAGAGATAGAATAGATTACTGTAGTTGTTATAAAAATGATAATACATGTAATGGTAATAGGCTTGAATTATCATTATTATTTGAATATTAGTTAAATGGAATAAAAAAAAAAGGTAGCATTGATTGCATTATATTAGAAATTGATAAATCAAAAGGAATTAAATTTAATAGATAAAAAGAGGTTAGAGTTTAAGAATTTTCTTTAATGCAATTAGATTGTAAAAATATTGGTAAATTCAGCATTTGAATATTATCAGTATTACCACGAATCTAAAATAAAAATAAGAATTTATATAAATACAAGCATCATTATACTATATAACTTATATATATATATATATAAAATAATAATTACAATCTTTTTAGCCTAACACTGAAGATGCATTGCGGTAAGTTTCAGATGTCTTCTATTATTAATAAAGCATACATCATAATTTTTACACTTGTATTTTTTTCTTAGATCACGAATAATATGTTCCTCTTATTGTAAAATTTCAGAAAATCCTTCTAATTTTAGAATTAAATGTTTTTTTTTATGTGTTTTAATATTTTAATTTTCTAATTCTTCATGATCTGATATATTCTAAAAAAAAGCAAATAAAAATATTATTTATAATATAGCAAATAGTAATTTTTTAATTAAATAAAATTATTTTATCTTTCATTTTTTTTTTCTTCATAAACATAACAATTAAAGTTCTGAACAGTTCAAATTAATCTGAAAATTTTCAGTTCAGATCAACTTCGGTTCAGTTTTAGATTACAAAAAATTCAATCTGAAAATTTTCGGTTCAGTTCAGATTTTTTTCAGATTATAAATCTAATCTGAACTGAAAAAAATCTGAACTGAACTGAAAATTTCAGATTAATCCAAAATTTTGGATCATTTGAAATGATTGAAATTATCATTCCAAATGAACGATAAAAGAATCATTTGATTAGAATAATTAAATTATCATTCCAAACAAATGATAAAAGAATCGTTTAATTAGAACAATGAAATTATTATTCTAAATAAACGATAAAAGAATCATTCGATTAGAACGATGAAATTATCGTTATAAATGAACAATAAGAAAATTGTTTAATTGGAACGATAAAATTATCATTTCAAATGATCTAAAATTTTGGATTAATCCAAAATTTTCGATTCAGTTCAGATTTTACTAGTTTACAGTTCAGTTCGGTTTCAGATTAACATTTTTAAGATTTATAATCTGAGCTGAACTGAACTGAAATTTTCAGTTCAGTTTCAGATTGCCCTATAATCTAGACTGAACTGAACCGTTCAGAGCATTAATAACAATTGTCATATTTTTTTTTATATTCAGTAATTTTTTATAGTCTAATAAAAACTTTTTGTAATCTTGTATATCAACTAATTGTATTCTGATACCTATAGTTTTTTTTGATTTGAATATAACCATATAATCTAAATGAATGATTTATTTATTACCAGTTAGTTTTATAATATGATAATAAATATCAGCAAGAATATCATCTAAAGATAATATTTCTTTTATTTTAATCTATTTAGATAATAATGCTGAATTTTTAACGGGCTTTATCATCAGATTGAATGATATAATTTGTATTATTTCATCAAATACACAAATATCATCATTTTCCAAATCATCTTCACTTGAATCTATTACTAAAGGTTTTTCTAATGATAATTTAAAGTATTAGTTAATGTTGAGTTAGGTTTTAACCTTTGAAAGGTACTATTATAAGTAGAACATAAAGAGAAGTTAAATGTTATACTAAGGTTTAGGAAATAACCAAATTTGGTAACCTTTTCTTGAATAAATTTAAGATGTTCAAATTGTAAATCAGATGATAAAACACAACCAAATGTGACTTTTACTTTGTCATTTCAGTTTTTTTTACTTGGCTTAATATTTTTATCATAAGAATATGCTCTTTTTCACATACTAAGTTTAACACTACAGTAAAGGCACTTTTTACAACTAAAATAAGCACTAATAAGATATTGAGTTTTAGTATTAGAAGTTTTCATTGTATTTGTCAATGTAATTGAACTGAATGCGTCTTTTTTTTTAAAAAAATATTTAGTAATTTTATTAAGAATGTATATTTATAATTAATACATCAATCATCTTCCTGATAATTATAATAGGTAATCAAAATTTTATATATATGTGATTGTATTACACTATTTTAAAAACAGTGATAAATAAATATATATAAATTAAATTAATCAGATTATTTTTAAGATATTTTTAAGTAATATATTTTTTTTATAATTATCTTTCTTAATATTATATGTAATATTTTATTTATTTATAATTTAAGTAACTTTTTATTTAATTAATTAATAAAAATAATAATAAATTAATAGTAAAAATTGATTAAGAAACTGAAAAGTAAATTTGAAAATTAAAAAAAAAATTAAAAATATAAGAAAAATAAACTAATTAATAAACTAAAAAAATGTAATCTTATCTTTAAAAAAGAATATTAATCAGATCATAATTATATAGGTATCATATCAGATATAATTATATAATTTGTAGTACAGAAAATATTAATTAGTAATAATTCTGGCCAAAATTATATAATTATGGACACATTTTTTTTTAGTCTTTGTTTTGTTTGTTATACAAAATTTTTTTCCAATCAAATCAAACCAAATCGACAAAAAAAAAAACGTGACTGGAAGTTTTTTTTTTTTATAGCATAAAAGTTGTGGCTTATGTCACAAATATTAATTTTTAATATAAATTTTTAGCTTGGATCATCATTGTACATTTTTAACTTTCTTTTTCAAATGGCAGTATCAACTAACAACACGAGTTCAAAGACTCTAAAAATGTCAACATCAGGTAAATTTGCAAGACCAGCAACAACACCAAGGCCAACTTCTAATGCAGGAACAAGTAATTTGTTTGTTAAGACAAGGCCGAACACAGTTGTCCGTGCTGATCTCATTAAAAACAAGGCGACAACGAAGAGGACAGAATCCGTAAGTTCTGCCGGCAGAGCAAAGGACGACAAAGCTGGTAAGAAGCCAAATCAAACCTTCAAGACGAAGCTGGTCAATAAACACTGTACCTTTTATCACAAATATGGTAAGTACCTTTATTAATAAATCTCCTTATCTTAGTCTTTAGGAAAATTACATACATACATATATATATTTCTTTTACTTTTAGGTCGATGCAAAGAAGGCGACTTTTGCGCTTACAAGCATGATCCAAGTCGAGTTGAGGTCTGCAAATTGTGGCTCAAAGGAACCGAATGCACATTGAACAGCAAATGCCCACTCCAACACGTCGAATCTGCACACCTGATCCCGCACTGTCGACATTTTTGTAAAGGCATGTGCCTTAAAGATGATTGTCACTACACTCATGTGAAGGTTAGTAAGCGGGCACCACACTGCAAAGACTTCATGGTGGGTCGATATTGTCCGGCAGGAACAAGTTGTCGCAAGAAGCACGAGTGGGGTCTCTACGAAGAGACCGAAAGTGAAGCCGACAAGAAACGCGTTCGAGACTCTTTTGAAGAGGACGCTGAACGTGAAAAAATCAAGAAACTTCGTGAAGAAATGGCGAAAGGTGTAAACCCCTTTACGGCAGGATGGACATTTATTCCAATTGATGATGATGACTGAATGCCCTGCGTTCTTTTTTTTTTTTCTTATTTTATTTGCATTATCATTATCAAGTAGTAAAAATCAAGAGTTAATTACGAAAATTTTTTTGTACAAATTTGTAAATATTTTTGCAATAAAAAATAAATATTTAAAAAAAAAAAAGAGATTATGATATATGACGAAAAATTTTCAAGTTTTGTAATGTTTTTCTGGTATATAAGTTAATATTTAAATAAGATTCGTATTAGGATTTAAGAGGTTAGAATGAATTAACATTTCATTCAATAATTAATAAATTTTCTTGCATTTGATAAGCTGATACTTTCAAATATAATTGATGTCAATCCAATTCAGGAATCAGAGTCAAATAATCAATAAAACAAAAATCATTTTATTTATTTATTTTTTATTTTTACAAATGATAGAAAAAGTGGCGAAAAAAAAAAAAAAACTTCTCGTTTTCCTTTCGTTTTTCACAATTTGTTTCTACGATATGATTCTGGTGAAGGTTGAACTTCTTTTGGTCCTGCTATACCTTTTATGTATATAATGTACAGGGTGTAATTTATTTGGAGACGCCTGTGAGAAAGGTATTTATTATATATAATGATTAAATAACAATATGAAAAGTGAATTTGAGAGAAATATCGAGTAAATTATGAATACGTACCAATAACACCACAAGCGAGACGACCACCTGCATTACCGGTCGTAAAAGAAAGTTCATGACCACCTTTACCAAGATCATCAACGTCAGCGTGGATAACCATGGTTCGTCTATAGACATTTATGATGCACATAAACAAAATTAGCTTTGTTTTTTTTTTTGAATAAGAACATAAAATAAAATAAACATTACCCAATTATAGTGTTAGGACCAAGTAATTTAATTTGTTTATCAGTGATTACAGTCTGAACTTCACCGGCTTGATTAGCAGTAACATTACCTAAATCACCAACATGACGGTTTTCATCATTAGGAGCTCCATGTTTTTTGTTAAATGGATTAAAGTGAGGCCCGGCTGAGGTACATCCATTAGTGTTATCACCAAATTCACTAAATTAAAGGTTTATTCGAGATGTTGAATTAGCGCCCAAAACATTTCAATGAAAAGACCACAAAAAATTTAACAACACTTACTGAACGTGGAATCCATGTTCACCAGGTTTTAAACCTTTGATATTGATTTCAATTTTTGTAGGAGCATTTTCTTCTTGTTCGAAAGTAATGGTACCACTTACTTTAATTTCTGGATTATCACCCTTAAGAACACAAACAGCTTTAACCATTATGAATATATATTTTTGCGATTTTATATGAAATTTTTTTTTTTTTTTTTTTTGCAGTTAAAGGAACTATCATCCCTATATATATATATATATATATGCACATTTTTTTTCTTGATGAGATGAATACTCATTATATCAATCGCAAAAATGGCGCACCACAAAGGTACTCATTTTCATTTTCATGGCGTAAAAAATTTTTTAGCTTTTAGTACAAGAAAAAGGTTAACATTATACGTAATAGCGATTTAAATCCTCATGATAAAATTAACCAACAAAAAACGCTCTGTAATCTTTATCATCTTAAAAATTTTTTTTTCCTTTTTTTGTTATAAGCAATATGAATCCGATATTTACTTATTTATTAATGGACTTACTTTTTATAATATTTATGATACAAAAAAAAAAATACATTATTCCTAAATTTTATTATCTATATTATATCTCTATAATATCTTTATTATAATCATATGGGATGAAATTTAGTAGATCTGTAACTGGTAATTTTTTCCCATGTAAACCGCGGCAAAGACATCGGGCCTTCTTTTATAGACTGTCAGAGGATTTGTTGTTTCGAAAAAATATAATTTAAAAGATCAAAAAAGATATTGATAGTTAATGCAACGTAATCTTCATCTTCGATAACAGATGGTGGGACACAAGATAATCCTTATAATATAAGAAAGAAATATTACGAAATTCCAATATGATGTCAAAAATTATCTTACTTGATACCCCATCGTTATTTTTTCTCTAATGCTCTCTTTCATTTAGATAATTTGGATGAAGTATCCATCTCCACTTCGAAATCTATGTAATGTCGCCAAGATTTTCGAGAATTTACATTTTACTCACCCTTTTAAAATCAAACTTTATAAGATGAACAAATACATCTCAGATATGAAAATAAGTTTGGTTTCGATGGACCCACATCTAATTCAGTTACCTACAGGGATCCCCATCATCGGCTCAAGGGGTAAATTTATAGTGCCGGCCTGTTAAATTGATATCGCAGTTAATTATTAAATTGATTCAAACATATATATAAAGTCTTTTTTATTTCAAAAAGGTCATTTTTATTGAAGGAGAAGACAAATACATCAGAAAAAAATAAATTATTGTTGTAGAACTAATTATTTCTTATGTAGCAATAATTTGACGCTTCCGACGTCCGGGAATTTTTCCCACCGATTTTGGCCGATCGGCAAAATCGGCCAAAAAATTAGGCTCGTAGCATAGCGGACATGCTTAATTTTATCACATTTTGCCGATCAATTTGCCGATCATTTATTCATTTTATCACATATAAAAATGCCGTAAAATCAACGTTAATTTATTCTGATCGGAAATCCTACATAATAATATATGTTAAATTTTTACAAGTAGCTGCATTTTAATATAATGAAATAATATATTAAATTTTATTGAAATATAATTATTATTGGGTAAGTTATACTAGAAGCAACATATTGCCAAAATTAATATAATTATAATAACATGATTTATCTTTGAAATATTCGAAAAGTTGTCTCAAAGCTAACATTTGTGTTGTTTAAAATTTTATTGTAATACTTTTATATTATTTTCTACATAACTTAAAATATGAAATATAAAGGTTGGCATAGTTCACCCTTGCATATGTTTTACCTAAACCTTTGAAGTCTAAAATAATTAATTTATTATGTAAATTACTTAATTAATTATTTCAGCTCTAAGATAACTTAAAATGCTTGATCTTGATTTACTATTTTAGAAGTATATTATACATAATCCAAAATATCAAATTTTTTAATTTGTAAAGTTCACCGATCATATGCTGTATTGCCCGAAGCTTTAAATTTTGAATCAGCTGATTTTATATAATGTGATAATTCAATTATATAGATTAGATGACTTAAACTATGATCAATTAATTCAGAGCTTAAAAGGTTATTTTAGATGACTGATATTGTTAAATAGAATAACTCTTAAATTAATGATCAATATTTCAATAGAAATAGTATCATTAGAACTGTTTTGACGAGAGCTTTTCAATAAATATAAGCTCGACCTAATTGGACTAATAGATGACAAGATATTTTAAGAAGAATGATCAAGTATAATTCTATAGATCATTACCAAACAGAGCTGTAATTTCTTAATGCAAATTAGCGATCAACTAGCTAGAATTACGAAAAATAACAAAAATGACAAAAACTATTGCAATGATAAAACTGATAATAATGCCATTAACGAATTTGATCCTTTTCTTCCTCGTTGGAGTTTATCCAAGAATTTTTACATAAAAAACGTGTACGTTCAAGGGCGGCCAAGGCTTAGCCTGCGAACAAAAAACAAAACTCTCCTATTTAAACTTTTTCCTCTTTTTATTCCCCATATTCTCAACCAAAAAATATTTCGTTGTTAGTCCAAACGATGGTATTTTTTTGTTAAAATATTTTTTTCGCCACTTCTCTCGAATATTTTTCTCATTTGTTTTTCTTTTTCTTTTTTGTTTACATAAAGTGAGCATCAAAGGGTATCTGAAATGACGATCAGAATCGATATATCTTTAGACATAAACAAATCTCACGTGATAACTATCCAATTACCTTCATAAACAACAACATTCTTTTGAAGATTTTCTGACGTCATAGAGTTCACCAATCTTAGCGAAATTTTTCAGTTCTCGCAACTATGTGTTTTGGGCTCTGTGCTTTTGCTAGTGACTGTAATCTGAATTGACAGACATATCAACATGGAAGTTTGAGATATCTGAAGAGCCTCTGACGGAACTTAGTGTTTTGAGCATTCCTGTTGTGAAAGGTCGCTGTAACTTAAAATTAACTAGACATTTTAGCTAGAAATTTGTTAAAGTTGATTGTCTTTTTTAACTTTTCTTTTTTCAGAAGCTAATCTTAGGTTCGTGTGTTCTAGAGGGTGTATTTTGATTTTCTTTTTTTTTGTTAGCCACAGCTTAGCCTGTGAACAAAAAACAAAACTCCTCTATTCAAACTTTTTCATCTTTTTATTCCCTATACCCTCAACTAAAAAATATTTCATTGTTTATCCAAACGGTAATGTTTTTTTGTTAAAATATTTTTTTCGTTACTTCTCTCGAATATTTTTCTCGTTTATTTTTTTTTTTCTTTTTTGCTTACAAAAAAAGGACATCAAGGGTATCTGAAATGACGATTAGGATTGACATATTTTTAGGAGTAAACAAATCTCACATGATGACTATCCAATTACCTTCATTAATAACAACATTCTTTTGAAGATTTCCTGACGTCATAGAGTCCACCGATTCTAGCAGAATTTTCTGGTTTTCACAACTATGTGTTTTAGGCTCTAGTAGTATATAAATGGGCTTTTTGGCACAAAAAGCCTAAATGCGTCCAGAAGGTTTTCCTGGGTATCAAAAAATTATACTCATAGCGTAATCCCTTTGTTTTCATACTTGTAACCT